TTAAATTCCCCCATCCCTTGAATGAATACCCCTGGGACTCCAAGGATATGCCGGGAGAGTAACGTACCATCATCTCTATCCAATTTCTTTGCATCATCTACAAAATCCTGTAAGTCATTGAATTCTCCTTCGACCTTGAAGCCAAATTCCTTCGTCTCAGTGCCTGTCACTCTGTATAAATAGAGTACAGTGGAACCCGGTTACTGAACACAGACACCAAAGGGACCCTAGCCTGTTCCAGGCTCCGAGATGGTGGTGGAAAGTCGTTCTGCTCGTTTTAATACGTTCCCACTGTACTATCTGAGAGCCTGGCACAGGCTAAAGGGACCCTGTCACAGTGTCCGTAAAGCGGGGTTCACGATATAAAGTCGGCTCTCTCTCAACAGACGCCTCGCTAAAACGGACACTAACAGTGGCTCCCTGTATTTCGTTACTCCTTTTAGCTGACTCTCTATCAGACAAATATACCTCGTTAAAACGAACACTTAGACTGGCTGCCTGCCTAACGGACACCTAGAGTTGGTCCCTGCTTTTCTTGACTCCTTTTAGTCAATTCTATCACTTATCGCCGATCTGAAAGGTTTTCGTCTTGGAAAGAGTTGACGGTATCAGTTTTTGGTCTGGACATAGGAGCTACATCCTGTTGTTGCTAGGCAATCTCCTGTCAGTTTTAAAGAAAAGGTTAAGAATTGGACAAAAAGTGATGTTTAATTTGATTAGACTAAAAGGAATGCCTTCTTGTAATAAAAACGTAGGAAGTAAGTCTTTCTGTTAGGAGAGAGATGTTTGATAACAACATACCTGATCAACTTAACAATAAACTGGGGAGATTTCTGTCAATAGAAAGGAAACAAAATACCGCTTAATTTCACTTTTAAGAGTTTTTTTTATTATTCTTTTAAGATCCTCTTAATTCTAGCCTCCTTATCAGTTTAATAATGAAAAGAGAAGGACTTAAAAGAGTTTCTTAAACAAGCGCAATTGTCCCTAAGTGTCTGAGAAAATTAGCCAATGAGAGCTTATAGTTAGTACACGTAACAGACGCTAAAGGCGTGCCGGGAAAGTAGGAAAAAACACTAACCACTGTTTAGTATATACTAAATATTGATAAAATTTTGACCCACAGAAAGAATTTCTTGCTTTTTGAGCCCTTATTTTCACTCTAACTAATGACCTCCAACTAAAATGGCTACCTTGTAGATGTCACTTTTTTCGAGTTCCTCTTGGCTGTCTGTAATAGAGCAAACAACATGTAAAAACTCCTAAATAATTCGTGCAGATTCTTGGTGGGTAAAATCATTTTAAAATATTGGTTACGGCCTTTACGTGAACGATGTCTTGAACACCGAACACAAGGACCGTCTTACTCCAGTCCGCGGCGATTATTTGATTCAAGGCTCAAGTGAATACGGTAGTAAACTGACTTATTATCTTTAGTCTTACCGAAAGTTTCCGCAGTGAATGCTTTGGGATATTTTGTTTCCTGCAAGGAAGAAAACGATGGATAATCTTACCGATGTTGAGTCAAATACTTTAATCATATTTACGGAGCTGTAAATGACATAAAAAGTAGATGCAAGTATTTGTAGGTCTGCTTTTGTTAGATGTTTGATGTTGAAACTTACTTTAGGTTACCATTAGAAGGGTTTTAATTACCGCAAATCTGTCAGTCACATCTAGGCTTCTCTTTGAGAGGCTAGCCGGCCTCCTATGTTGATCTTAATTAAAACAACCGTATTATTACATTTATTAATATGTGTGTTAAGTTAGTAATACCTGAAACGCCTTTATGGCGTTGATGATCGGTTGCTCGTTGTAGGCTAATGGAACATTCTTGCCCTTTAACTATAAAAAAAAAGCAAGAAGTCATGTATCGGTTGACCGTAAGGCAGCTGACTCACCATATTTGGTGTTGCTTTTTGTCCTAAAAGCGCATTGGAGTCAAAGAAAACCCAAATATAATGGTTCAGTTTCGTTGGAAAATTTCTAACCTCTCTACTTCAGTTTGCGTACGCTATAAGTGTGCGCGTGGTCGTTGTGTACCCGATGAAAATATCTCAGTTACAATGTGAAACCCCTGTTTGCGATAACTATCAGTCTCTTTTTTGGTCAAAAATATATCAACAGGAACGTATTTTGGCGGCTTGTGATTTACACGGTCTCACAAGCTTTTACGTGCTTGTGTTTGATTGTTATGGTGTTTAAATAAAGGATTTGTTTATCTCAGAGAGAGGTACCTGAATAGATAGAGACGCAGATATACACACAGATAATCAAACAGATATAGGTATAGATAGATGGATGGGCGGACGGACGGACGGACGTACAGGAAGGACCGAGGGATAAGTGGACTGACGTACGGAAGGACGGACAGACAGCTTAATGGACGGGTAGGCAGGTAGACAACTAAAATTAATCAGTGCCCTGGAGACTGACACTGCGCGAAGATTTCTTAAAACCTAAAGAGACGGTTCTGCTTTAATCATAGTTTGGAGAGAATTCCATGCCTTTACACCGCTATACGAAAAGTTCTTTTTCAGGTATTCGTGTTGGATTTTCCAGTGCTAAATTAGACATGAGTCTTTGAGGTTGTAAGCCGTAGTTTTACGAGCTAGGTGAAATGCCCCAGTGAGGTACGGAGGAGCTTTTTGAGCGTAATTTTGTGAATCATAATCGCGGTATGATGATGAGGACGGACTTCATTGGGTGTCCCACTGCGGCATCTAGAAGATATATAGCCAGACACTTTAATATTGTATCGAGCGTCGGATAAGTGATTTGAAGAACAGACGATAACTCGAATATTTATAATTATTTCATAGAAGCAGAAATGTACCTTGTAATAACGATCATGGCAGAATATTATCAAAAATCCGTCATCACAGCACAGATTCTTCCTTTCATATTCCATAAAAATTTCCTGGAACTGATCCTTCTTTTGAGCTGACGGTTTGTAATGTACCACAGTGATTGCCTTTTCAACAGCTCCGATTTCAACATGCCTGAATCCAGAGGCAATGCTGTTAACGTGAAAAGGAAAAAGAATGAATCAATCGCCTTTATGTCTGTCCGGTGGCTTCAGTAAGTTAGTAAAAACGCCTTTAAAGGAAAGCTGGATTTAAATAAGTACAACTTCATTAAAGAACAAACAAAAGCACCACATCATGTCGACAAATCTCTTCCTCTTTCATATTCAAATACTTATACTAGGGTATCTAAAAGATAGTAATGCTGCTGCACATTCTGTTGATACTGGCGTTAGTTAGGCAGTGAGACTTAAAAGAATCAAAAATGACATTGAATGTCCTATTTACATGTTGGAAAGTACTAGAATAATTACTATCAGTCTATAGAAAGAACTCGTGGGAACGTTGTTTAGAAAATGATCAAGTGGTTATCAACTCTGGTTTTTGCCACAGTAAATTGTAGGAAATAATAGAAATTCAGATTGTTTATCCATATATTTAATAAGCGGTGCACGATATTTTCTCTGGAAACACAATACTTTTCTTGCTGTTTGTTGCACTTTATTAAGTAACAGTTATTTAGCTATATATTTATAGAAAACAACAACACAAAAAACGGAAAAAAAAAGAAAGTAGCAATTAATAATTCGGTAGGACTCGAACCCGGCAACTTCGACTCGACGCGACTACACCTAACCACTTCACCACAGAGGCTGAATACGAAATCGTTAGGAAAAGTCTTTCATTTTATTCCTTTTCTATGAAACTTCCGCCGGCAAGTTGATCGCCAGCCGCATTAACCGAGCTATTAACAGTGAAAAAACAATGTAAACGCATATTCCATGGCAATGAATGAATGAAAGAACATAATTATGCTTTTCAAAACGTCGATACACGTCCTCGTCTGCAAAGTAGGACACAAAACATATGTTTTGTTATCTCGATTTCCGCTGTTATTTTGAAGCGAATGGTCAAAATCACATCCATTTTCGGCTCATACAGTTTCTTAAAAATAGCATTGCATGACATTTTCTCACTTTCACATCACCTTCTAGCAAGGTGGAATTTATATATCCCCCGTGTTGCGGAGTCGAAGAGCAAATGCTCATCTTCTCGTCAGGTTTAACACCTGGACGAGTCAAAGGCTCTTGAATTGAAATCCAATCTCCAAGTTAACCATCGTACTCATCTCAAAGACTCCTGCGTGTCTTACAATTTGGTAAGACCTCTAACCGTGCTGTAGAAAATTTGCCACAAAGAAAACTCTAAGTCTGAGCAGCGAACGATGCACTCTCTCACCCACCGAACTTCCCAGTGTTTTTATTTGAGTTGTTCGTGGCGCAATGCACTGCGGTTAAATGCAATGCATTGTGGTAAAAAGTGTGGTTAAATGCAATGCATTGTGGTAAAAAGTGATGAATTCGAGAATTCGTCGCCCCTTATATATTTCCTTTAAATCCTGATTATGTTGCTGCTCGCTCCCTTCGGTCGCTACGCAGCAATAAGAAGCAATAACAGGAATATTTTTTAAGACTTTAGTGCTCTCAGATTTGGCTGATTTTAAGTTGTGAGCCTTTGTAGCGTTCCGTTCATAGAACTTTTAACGGTTTTTCCTCTAGCCAAGGGCGAGATTTGTTTGGATTGCCTTCGCAGGTCATAGGAAAAAGGTTGTTTATGGCCCTTTTACGAGGCTAGATTATCACAATTAAGAAGTTTAAGGAGATATCTAATGTTCTCGTGCCTTAGCCCTGATAGGTAATTATAAATATAATACAATAACCTCTTTCTAGTGTCAACTAATTCTTGATTTATCCATGAAGAAACGCCTAGAGTCGCCGAATTCTGATGCAGCACTGATTAAAGTGCCATCAGCGCACATTTGTAGCTCAATGGCTATCTTTGATTTACATAAGAAACAGTAAAGGACCTTACAAAGACCTCTGAGGTACCACACAGGTCACCGTTTGGATTTTGAAATGCTGCTTATATGCACAATAAACTGATGCTGCCTATGGGATAAACATGATTTAAGCAAATTGAGAGGCAATCCCATAATGCCATACAGTTCCAGCTTTAACTCAACTCACCCTCCTTCAATAGTTTCGAATTTTACTCCCATCTTCTTAAAATATTCTTTGAAATCGTCAGACTCACACCCCTCAACTTCCCGATGTTGCACCGCTTCATCTCCCAACTGCAGAATTGAATAATAAAGAACATTTACACAGTAGGTGTCTTCGCGTCACTTGGCTAATTAACTTTTTTCTGAGCAAGAAACGTTCGGTTGGAAATGCTTTTCAGGGCTTTGAGCTGCAAGCGCAGAAAGAATGCAGCCGGTGCCAGACGCGGGAAATGCAACCGGTACAAGCGCTTGAAGAATGCAACTAGTATTATAAGCAAGAAATACAACCAATGCCACCGTAATGCCAAGCGCGAAATAAAAAGAAAAACCAGTGCCAAGCAGATTTGAACTGATCTGACTTACTTTGCGTGAAGGTCAAGGATCGTTTACTTATTTTATTGGGAACGTTATCCTGCAAAATATTTTGTTTCTTACTTTACTGTCTAGCTCAACCGTTTTGTACGCAGCTGTTCCATACTCATCCTGTGTGGACGTTTTTCCAATCCAGAAATGGATGTCATAGTCTACAGCCTGAAAAATTTCAATTGAAAGAGAACATTCAGTTTAATACCTCTCAAAGTTAATGCTATACAATAAGGAGGTTCTCGTTTGGCTTTTTTGAAAGTCTGATGATATTTTAAATACATTGATGTGAAGCTCAGGGTATTGATCGGAAGGAAACCAAACTGCCCGTTAGGCAAAGGACCTCCTTGTCCTACCCCTGACCTGGAGATCTACGATTTGCCTGTGTAGGACATCAAATGCCTTATGCCGTTATTGTATAAACCCATTTTGTTGATTAAGCAATTCAGATTGTCTATACTAACTTCCTTTCTGAGTCTTCCCTGAGGATCTTTTTTGTATTCAGCATGAAGAATGATGTACGAGTCTCCCTTGAAGAATTTTACCACCTTTTCGTCCTCAGGAAGCCAATCTTTCACCTAAAGAGAAAAAGGAACAGCATTTCGGTAATGATTTACACAAGAAACAGGACTTTTTTATCCCATACTTCTTTAAGAAAGAAGGTTATATTGATAACTGAATGAAAAGGTACATTGCAGGCTACTTGGTCTCTACGTAGGGGAGGTACTTCCTTCTTTTCTCTTTATCGATCCCACCAGCCTTCAATATACTTGATTCCTCCAAGACTCTAAAAGTGCAGAGCCTTTTCACATGATGTCACGTCCGCCATGTTACTGTCCCAAACCATTAGTGACGTTTTTGTTATCCAGAAGTGAGCCTTTTTCTAATATGCCTTAACGCTACCAAATTTGTATTGATAAGTATCTTTACTCTTATATAAGGACGATTTGACAAAAATTTGTTTAAAATCACGGCTTAAGAGAGCAAAAAGTCCACTTCCCGTTGACGTCCGTGGCTCAAAAAAGTCGCCGCTTAAAGGAGCTACGTCGCGAGCTACGCATGCGCGAAATTTGCGCAGTCCAAGCTGGAGCAACGAGCTGTCGGTCATATTGGATTTCGGTTTCTCAGGTTTTTTGTTAGATTAGCCCCCTAGAAGTTGTCTTTAGCCAGGTTACAATACATTTTATCCATCTGGATCATCAGGAGTTAGAATTATGGCCATGCGTGAGCTGGAGAGATCCGTAGCGGTAAGAGTGTGTGGGAGTGTGTGTGTGGGAGTTGAACGTCTTTTCTTATGTAAACCTTTTTCTTTGACGCTATATATTTGCATAGCTGCTAGCCAAGCGAATGAAAACGTTCTATTATTTGAGCCCAAATATCCTCATAAACTCATAAACTGTACGTACATTGATGTGTCAGGAGAAAATTGGCGTTATTTATTCTAGGGACTAAAGAAAGTTTAAAGCAATTTTGTGAATCAGCAAGTGTAACTTTCTAGTTGTGAGAAGAACCGGCTTCGTGCCCCGTGGCTGTTGTGCAGAGCAGTTTTTGGAGTACCTTTACGATTTAAATGGCAAGGGGTATGAGACTGAAGTTGAATTCTCCTCCAGTTCTCTCGAACTAAAGCTTACAGCCTAAAAAGAGGATATGAAACCAGTTCCAGTAGTGTCAGTGGTTCAAGTGTAGTTCACGAAGAAATTAATCAGAAAAAATTGATTAAAAATACTTTGAACAGTTGTCAGTCTTGCTGCTAGGCGTTCACAATACAGTCGAACCTCTCTAATACGGGGACCGAAGGGACAGAGCGAAGTGTCCGTGTCCGTATAAAAGAGTTTACTATGATGACGTTACTTTTATGACTCCACTTACAGTTTTAAGTATTCAGCAGCTAAAACCAGGCTTACACTCGTCTTTAAACTACATTTAAATTTTTAATTCACGGTAAAAAGACACTGTCTTTCAGACAGCATTGTACATATCAGCTACAAAGTAAGTACAGTCCTAGACAAATCACTGTTTTAAAACGAAACGAGCTACAGCGCAATTCTGCACCGTAAAAAGTTGTAACATAAGGTGTCTTTCCCTGCAGTAAACAGTAACTAGAGTAAAAAATGTAATAGGAAAGATATTTATGCTATCTGTAATTATTCAAGCCTTAAAAAAGTCGGTTATGTTCCTCTGTGCACCTTTCGCAAATCGTTGTTTGTTCTAGATCAGATGCTCTAAAACGGAGGGTCCTGGGTTCGAATCCCATCTGGGACTCAGATTTTTTCTGTGTCCTCTTATCATTGATTCTTTACATCTCCCTTTATTTCCTTTACAATTCTAATACCGGTGGCATAGGTTGAAAACAGACTGATTTGTTTTTATTACAAATAAAATGCTTTACAAAGGTATCTCGATCTGTATTTTTAGAAATTATACGGCTACAAAGACAAAAACGCAAGTTAAGATAAAATTTTATTGATCTCCATTTTTTGAATATGGTCACAGAGGAACTGAAATTTACTGAGCCCAATTAATTTAAATCTCTACTGATGCAATAAATAATAAAAGCTACAAAATTATGCAATTCACCTGACGCTGGAACACCGGTCTTATTCAATTGAACTTATTGTAATGTTCCAGAGTGTGATTTGAAATGCACAAAGTATGCACTGATACTACTCCAACTTACTTTACCCAACAGGATCACGAAAAAAATGATTTTTGGCTGTCCCAGAAGGGCTAGCAACCACCCATTGTTGCCAAAAACTCTCATCAAAGAATTTTAAAAACTTTGCCTTTTATGGTGCAAAAAGCGATGTTGTTGATGCTTCTGGTTTTAATTATTAATGCGTTGTCAATTCCCTCGCAGAAAATCTTGCAAAGTTAAATTTCACAGATTTTTAAAGGCTGTGATACTCTGTCAGGCATTTTTTTTTTACAAACCATGGTTAGTTCAACAACCAAGACAAATTACTTTGTATTTGAGTGAGAAAACGTTCTCAGAGTGCTGCTGAGGAGGGTCAGTATAATATCTGGGAACCTATCTTTCATTTACCCCTCGCTCCCTTAACTCAATGTTAACGCTTATTTCTTACTCAGGGCAAAATGTTGGGTTAGGGGAGGGGAAGTTGGGCTCAGTTTTCCAGAATCTTACATTAATTTTGTATAATGAACAGAAAAGCGAACATATTTCATGAAAATAAAGAATGCGGATTTCAATCACAGGGTCAAAAGTTGGAAACATTAAACGACTGTCAGTTATAATTTTATGAAGAAATTGGAAACAAGTTGTTTACCTGAAATTTTTCCACCCTCCAAAATTTCAATGCTTGAGGGTCTTCCTTGTTTGTTGATTTCCCTAGCTTGTCTGACATAATCTCTTCGACTCTGTTCCAAGCAGGTTCTTTATTTGCGGCATGCAATCGTAACTGAATATAAAAGTCAAAACACAAGTACTCTTGTTTTTAACTACTTGAACATTGCATAGCGTTCCTCTACAAATTTGGAGTTTCCTCCATAACTGTTCAAAATGAAGACTTACATCTCTGTCTTCCTTGCTTTTGATATTCGCAACATTGGAGTCCTTCCAATCATAGTCCTTCTGTTTTCTTAACCCGCTCATGATCAAAGGTTAGAGCTGTTGATACCCTTCGAACGAGTTTGTGCTTAGCTGGAAGATTTCAACTGTACCCTGGCAAGGATGCTCCCTTCACAATAATTCTTAGTTTAAGATTGTTTCACCACCTGTAGTTAGCTTCAAATTATCATTGGTGCACTAAGAAATTCGCATCTCCAAGTAATTAAGCGCCATTGTCAACAAAATCTTCGATTTCGTTTAATTTTGTTTCTATGGTGTTTTGTTTTATAAATGTTTAGGTTTTGTACTGTGAGCAAAATTCTCGTAAATTCTCTCAGTTTATGTTAAGCTTAGTTACGATTCTGTAGAATAGAAAGTCGGTCTGCTTCTCACCGAATATATCAATGACTTTATATAATTAAATTACGGGTCGCTAAGAACTTTCCTTCACCAACTAATGCAGCGTCGCCTTAGAATATCCTGACCCACCTCATCCTCAAAACGAAAAGCCAAGCCAAGAGATTTGCTATGAGTTTACTTGGACGCCATCTACATTAATGTTTATTGTGTAGTCATTTAAAGTCTGTAGTTTCTGCCTCGAGCTAATAATCATAAACTTTGTTCTGGCGACATTGAGACTTAACTTGTTGGCTTTAAGCTTTAATATGTTTCAACTCACTATGAGCTGTAATTCGAGATGATGTACACTAGGTAACGTTAGTGTTGTCTGCGTACATTCTAGGAGAACCAGTGTTCAAACAGTTTGGAAGATCATTTACGTAGATACAAAGAGAAGGGGGTCTATTATTGACCCTTAGGGTACGCCACCGTAAAGAGGGCTCTCACTAAATGGACGGCTACCTACAGTGTACAATGCATGTTCGCGTACGGTTAGTTAGATAAGATGTGAACCATTTCAAGGCATCTTGGTCAACGCCGTATTAACTGAGTTTTTTTAGAATAATCTCCGGGTCAATAGTGTCGAAAGCCTTCTTCAAATCAATGAAGATTACGCCATTAAAAAGACCTCTGTCAATATTGACACACCAGTTATCGTTTGTCTCTAATAAAGCTGTAAGAGTACTGTGTAGGGAGCAAAAACCAGATTAACACCATTTTCATTAGTAAAGTTGATCATAGACTGAATTTTTTCAAAAATTTTGGCTACGGCAGGGATACCAGATATTGGCCGGTAGTTGTTTAGGTCTGACTTGGAGCCATTCTTAAAAATAGGTGACACTTTTGCTAGTTTCCAGTCACAGGGGAAAATCCCAGTCAGTATGGATTGATGTAAAATGCCTGTTAAAGAGGGCGAAACAACATCGGCTGCAATTTTTAGCGAATTTTTGTCAAGACCAGTTGCTTTGCCAACATCGATAACTTTAAGTAATTTTATGACTTTTTGAACATTGATCCGTTCGAAAGAAAATACTCCGTTCAGACAGGATTTACATAGGAAAGGGGATCAGTGTCTACACTGGGAATTTCGCGAGCTAGAGATTGGCCAATGTTTGTAAAATGGTTATTGAACGCTTCAGCTTTATCACCAGGTGACGTGAAAACTTGACTTGCTAGCTATTTTGATTTGGGACAGTCCAGCTGATTTACTTTTGTGGAGACTGAAGCTCATTAATGAACCGCCAAGTTTTATGAGGATCACCTTTGTTTGCATTTAGTGTTTCAGAAAAGTATTTACGCTTGGCTTTCTTTATAGCTTTGTTAGTCTTATTTTGTGCATATGAACTGTTTCCCAATCAAGAGATCGTTTGAAGAAGTAGCTTTCCTCTTCAGAAAGTCCTTTTTATATATTTCATGTGACACTTAATTTATGATCTATGGAAAGCTTTTGTTTTTGGTCCTTTTTGTTCTAAAAGGTGCATTCTTGTCTACAACACTCGTTACTAGCAGTTTCCAAACGTCCCCATATCATTTGAGTTATTGCATGCAGTATCGAGATTTCAGTCATTCATTTGAAGATCTCGTAAAAATTCAACTTCGCTGAAGTTCTTGAGCTTTCGAACTTCAACTGTCTTATAATTACCTGAGCGAAAAATGATAATAAAAAAATTTGCGTGTTTGACTTATGAATGATGTTTTTTGGGGGGAGGGGGTAGGAGGGGAGGGGCTTGTGCACTCTCTTTGAAACTCCAGATATACTCCGCCCTAGATAGTCCTTCTTCTTCTCAGATACTTCGGCAAAGTTTGTGTCCGAAGTAAACTGCTTATCAACATTCCAGTCCGCCGCTGGTTTCGACTGAACTACGATCAGGGTGTAGCATATATAGCCCCATACCTTGCGATATTCGTACGTTTGCGCAAAAAGAAAAACCATAGTTTCAGACTTGATCATTGAATCTGTTTGATCAGTAAAGATCCCGGAGACTGTCAGCTCAGTTCGTCATGGGTATAAGTGGAGAATGGTTTATGATTCTAGCATTCGTTGATTCAAGGTTAAACGACACAACGGTGCCCTAGTTTGATATATTTTTAAAAATGATCACGACAACAACCATGATGATAATGATGATGATGATGATGATAACGCCAGCTTTTTTTTATCTTATCTTTCGCCGGTTTTGTAATTTGTTTTTCCTTATTTTTAATATTTTCTAGAGTACCCTGAAGGATGACGCTACATGGAAGCGTATTTGAATTAAACAATAACAAGACATGTTTCGTTTTCTACTTTTACTATTATTCTCAGCTACTAAAGCACTATAATGAACTGCAAAGGTCAATCCAGTTTTTCTTAAAACATGTGGATTATAACACTATTATTTAATGTAAAAACACCCTATAAATAAATGTTTCCTCAAGAGCTGATAAATTCCTGTCTTCGATCATCTTGGCCCCATCTTGGCAAACTGCGAATTAACCGGCTGCCTTGACCAATGTCTTCATGAATATGTCTGTTGGGTTTATACTGATAAAAGGAGAAATCGAGTAATCAGCGCTGTTTAGAACTCTTTCTGTACGATAATAATGCAACTTAAATTCATTAAAAATTGTAGTGGACAGCGCTATCCATCTTTTGAACACGCTGGTTATTTCAGTTAACCCCGCTTCGAACAATCCGGCCCATAATGCCAAGCAATCTTTTCTCACTTGGAACTTAAAGGCTTCCATCAAAAACTTAATCCCAAAAACCATTGCAATGGTTCTGAGTCGTTTTTAATAGCGTCAATTACAAGAAGCAACTCCACTTTAGAAGGTACAGGCTATACTCTTCTCTTTACCATTGCTTGCTTTTATTTCAAATTCTTACAAAAGGCAAGAGCAAAACTTTTGAGAGGTGGCTCACCTATATGCCAATGGCGGCCTGGAGTTGAATTGAAAACTGTTCTTCTTTAACAACAGTAATGGGGATTCCAGAGTGTCTTTCGAATGTCAACTCTTCGTCCTTCAGATAATCCTGTCGATTTTGAAAGAAAACAACAACAACAACAAATGTGGTAGCTTGTCGCACATTATTACCATCTATGCGGTATCATCCGGCTTATGTCGTGAGGCTACTCAACGAGAGGTACTTAGAAGGAGATCCACAACCCAGGCAGATTCCATTAGAAAAATCTCATTTTGTTTTGAAATTAGCCTGAGAAAACAGCCTACTGTACTCCACGCCACCTCTGGAAAACACACCTGTTATTGTTAACAGGTCTAAGGACATTAGGGAACATTAGATTCGAGGACGAGGATAGCCTGCGTGGCAGACGTTAAAAGGGGAAGGGGGACTTTGGGAGCGCGAGAGCGCGCGGGGCATTCCTTCCTCCCTCGCGTGCGGTCTCGTGCCCTAATTCCTTTCGAAAGGACGAGAAGTGACTGAAAGTTTTCCGCGCATTGTGCATTCCAAAATGACGCTAGTTCACGCGCGCGTATCCTCGATAATCACTGGATACCAAAACAAAGCTACTGGTCACTATAATACTCACATGACCAACAATCAAACCGTTTCCCTTTTCTCGTATCCATGAAGATTTGCCAACCCGGATAAACACATGCTCCTCAGAATCTTTCACATGAACAACGTAAACTGCAATTAAAACAAAACGGCAGGGATACCAGATATTGGCCGGTAGTTGTTTAGGTCTGACTTGGAGCCATTCTTAAAAATAGGTGACACTTTTGCTAGTTTCCAGTCACAGGGGAAAATCCCAGTCAGTATGGATTGATGTAAAATACCTGTTAAAGAGGGCGAAACAACATCGGCTGCAATTTTTAGCGAATTTTTGTCAAGACCAGTTGCTTTGCCAACATCGATAGCTTTAAGTAATTTTATGACTTTTTGAACATTGATCCGTTCGAAAGAAAATACTCCGTTCAGATAGGACTTACATAGGAAAGGGGATCAATGTCTACACTGGGAATTTCGCGAGCTAGAGATTGGCCAATGTTTGTAAAATGGTTATTGAACGCTTCAGCTTTATCACCAGGTGACGTGAAAACTTGACTTCCTAGCTATTTTGATTTGGGACAGTCCAGCTGATTTACTTTTGTGGAGACTGAAGCCAAGTTTTATGAGGATCACCTTTGTTTGCATCTAGTATTTCAGAAAAGTTTTTACGCTTGGCTTTCTTTATAGCGTTGTTAGTCTTATTTCGTTCATCTTTGAACTGTTTCCCAATTAAGGGATCGTTTGAAGAAGTAGCTTTCCTCTTTAGAAAGTCCCCTTTATATATTTCACGCAACAGTTTATTTATGATCCGTCGAAAGCTTTTGCTTTTGGTCCTTTTTGTTCTAAAAGGTGCATTCTTGTCTATAACACTCGTTAATAGCAGTTTCCAAACGTCGCCATATCATTTGAGTTATCGCATGCAGTATCGAGATTCCAGTCATTCATTTGAAGATCTCGTAAAAATTCAACTTCGTTGAAGTTCTTCAACTGTCTTATAATTACCTGAGCGAAAATGAAAATAAAAAAAAATGCGTGTTTGACTTATGAATGATGTTTTTTGGCGGGTAGGGGATAGGGGGGGCCTTGTGCACTCTCTTTATAACCCCAGATATACTCCTCCCTAGATACTCCTTCGTCTTCTCAGATACTTTGGCAAAGTTTGTGTCCGAAGTAAACTGCTTATCAACATTCCAGTCCGCCGCTGCTTTGGACTGAACTACGATCAGGGTGTAGCATATGTAGCCCCATGCTTTGCGATATTCGTACGTTTGCGCAAAAAGAAAAATTACGAATATTAATTGCAATGTAAAAATCATAGTTTCAGACTTGATCATTGAATCTGTTTGATCAGTAAAGATCCCGAAGACTGTCAGCTCAATTCGTCATGGGTATAAGTGGAGAATGGTTTATGATTCTAGCATTCGTTGATTCAAGGTTAAACGACACAACGGTGCCCTAGTTTGATATATTTTTAAAAATGATCACGACAACAACCATGATGATAATGATGATGATGATGATGATAACGCCAGCTTTTTTTTATCTTATCTTTCGCCGGTTTTGTAATTTGTTTTTCCTTATTTTTAATATTTTCTAGAGTACCCTGAAGGATGACGCTACATGGAAGCGTATTTGAATTAAACAATAACAAGACATGTTTCGTTTTCTACTTTTACTATTATTCTCAGCTACTAAAGCACTATAATGAACTGCAAAGGTCAATCCAGTTTTTCTTAAAACATGTGGATTATAACACTATTATTTAATGTAAAAACACCCTATAAATAAATGTTTCCTCAAGAGCTGATAAATTCCTGTCTTCGATCATCTTGGCCCCATCTTGGCAAACTGCGAATTAACCGGCTGCCTTGACCAATGTCTTCATGAATATGTCTGTTGGGTTTATACTGATAAAAGGAGAAATCGAGTAATCAGCGCTGTTTAGAACTCTTTCTGTACGATAATAATGCAACTTAAATTCATTAAAAATTGTAGTGGACAGCGCTATCCATCTTTTGAACACGCTGGTTATTTCAGTTAACCCCGCTTCGAACAATCCGGCCCATAATGCCAAGCAATCTTTTCTCACTTGGAACTTAAAGGCTTCCATCAAAAACTTAATCCCAAAAACCATTGCAATGGTTCTGAGTCGTTTTTAATAGCGTCAATTACAAGAAGCAACTCCACTTTAGAAGGTACAGGCTATACTCTTCTCTTTACCATTGCTTGCTTTTATTTCAAATTCTTACAAAAGGCAAGAGCAAAACTTTTGAGAGGTGGCTCACCTATATGCCAATGGCGGCCTGGAGTTGAATTGAAAACTGTTCTTCTTTAACAACAGTAATGGGGATTCCAGAGTGTCTTTCGAATGTCAACTCTTCGTCCTTCAGATAATCCTGTCGATTTTGAAAGAAAACAACAACAACAACAAATGTGGTAGCTTGTCGCACATTATTACCATCTATGCGGTATCATCCGGCTTATGTCGTGAGGCTACTCAACGAGAGGTACTTAGAAGGAGATCCACAACCCAGGCAGATTCCATTAGAAAAATCTCATTTTGTTTTGAAATTAGCCTGAGAAAACAGCCTACTGTACTCCACGCCACCTCTGGAAAACACACCTGTTATTGTTAACAGGTCTAAGGACATTAGGGAACATTAGATTCGAGGACGAGGATAGCCTGCGTGGCAGACGTTAAAAGGGGAAGGGGGACTTTGGGAGCGCGAGAGCGCGCGGGGCATTCCTTCCTCCCTCGCGTGCGGTCTCGTGCCCTAATTCCTTTCGAAAGGACGAGAAGTGACTGAAAGTTTTCCGCGCATTGTGCATTCCAAAATGACGCTAGTTCACGCGCGCGTATCCTCGATAATCACTGGATACCAAAACAAAGCTACTGGTCACTATAATACTCACATGACCAACAATCAAACCGTTTCCCTTTTCTCGTATCCATGAAGATTTGCCAACCCGGATAAACACATGCTCCTCAGAATCTTTCACATGAACAACGTAAACTGCAATTAAAACAAAGACAGGTTAATTGTAAGAAACAGCTGATATTAGCTGTGACAAAAGAGTGTGAAATCGCCTCCCTTGAAACAGCTTGCAAGTACGCTTTAACAGGTACTTAGCCCTGGTATCGCATAGTGACGGTAGCTATCTCCTCTCTTGAATCGCAAAATTCGTAGAGAAAGTGTAAAGAGATAAAAAAAGCTTTAAAACGTGATAAAAGATATGAACACTTTTGAAAAGACCGAACAAGTGCTTTGCCGCGCCTTAAGCGCGCGTCGTTCTCTTTCGTATCTAAACGATTCTTTCCTTCCCATCTTAGCACCTGCGAGGCGTTGAAAACGTGATCAAGATGGCGCACCATTACAGTTATCGCCCGAAATAATAAGCATGTTCAGTAATGCGACTATTAGTAATTCATTCATTCCTTCTTTGCGTAAGATTGGGAGTATGTACCAACCGACCGTGCTACCAAGAAATTCCCCCATCTACACGAAAAAAAGTCCAAACGCCCAATTCGATTACCAAAACGAAATCGCTTTATTTGCTTGGAACTGGCATAAAAAGGAATTTTCCATGTGGAGTTTTCCTCCTATCAGTGGAAAGTACCCAGTTCATGTATAAACAGACCTTCTTTGGAATCCATTAACCTCAGGCAAACGTCTTCTCCTTGACATTTTTCTTGGAAACGAAAGTCATGATCTCTGCGGGCAACGGGATTCCTTGAGAGTCACAAAGATAGAGAACACATTAAGAGCTTTTGGACTTTGTTAGTTGAGTAAGCAGTGCAGTGCGTTATGTTGCGATCAGCGGATATCCGTGTGTGCTAGTATCGAGCCTTTCCTAGATCATTTATTGCTCAAGTCCACTATGTAATAAATACTCAGGTTTTTAAACTGAATTTCTGTGCTCAGCATTTTTGTAAGAGAAGGGTGAGGAGGTGTAACCGGCCAAGCATTTTTTTAGAAAATTCAATGATTTTCCAGCCTGCTAGACTCGCAGCTCCCAGAATCTTTTAAAGGTTCTCCAAAAATTTTTCTGAATAACTGAGTTAATAAAGCCAATTTAAGAGCTCACGTTTAGAACTGGACTAAGTTGGAGGGGGGAAAAGAAAGCGCTTACTATTTTTTAATTATTTCGAGTTTTATTGGAATGCCCAGCGAGAGCCTCTGCGTAGAAGAGAGGGCAGATATTTGCAGCTGTATCGAAACTGCTATAAAATGCTGTGAAAATTGTTATGAAAGTTTTTGAAACACTTACAAGAGTCTCACTTGAAACATCTTTCTATTCAGCTTCTGTCCTAGGAACACATGCAGACCTGGGCCAGACTTAACAAAAAAAAGGAACAAATTTTGGTTCAGTAACGCTTCAGTAATGCAATCCAAGCTAGGATCAGGCGTCTATCGTCAAACAAATACAACAAGCTTTTTACCTCTTTAAAAGAGAACTTTGACGTATGTATTTCCCCTATTCAGAGACCTTTTGATCCTCTATTATATACTAGAAAACGTTAGAATATAAATTTCCTCCGACCTTACTTTTTCAATGCTGTTAAAACATTTCTTTGCAAAGCAATGGTGGGAAAGTGCATTTGCGGCAAATTGGTTTACACATTTTCTGCCACGTGTGATATATATACTCTATGATGCTGTCATCAACTTTGAATAGTTATTCGCTTCTTACATTTGCACTGGACAAAACCTGCAAAAACAGTTTGCACAGAGGGCTTCGTAGTTTACCTCGCGTTGTGGCTGTTGTGGGGGTTTCCATTTTTTTGCTTGAATAGGTTTTTTCGCTTGATAAGGAAACTCCCAGTATAATTCGTGAGTTTTATCCAACGTCTCATCATTCTCATCTTAAAAGACAAGAACGAAAATAAGTTAAACTAGTCTTGGAAAAAGTGAAGTTTACTCACACACAACACCTTACAGGCTATACTGTGACTCTCTGACACTGTGGCCTACTAGGCAAACCGTTTGCAATGCGAAAAGAACGGTATTGTTGTTTAAAAAAAGTCTATGGAGTGAGTGATCAAGGACAATCTGAAAATATTCGTAAGAGATTCAGTAGTTGATGGATGGATGGATAGACGGACGGGCGGAGAGACAGACGGGCAGATCAAGAAACGGACGGACAGATAGAGGGACAAAGGGACGGAGGGACAAACCGACAAACCGACAGATAAACGGACAAACGGTCAAACCGACGTAGAGATGGAGAGAGAAACGGATAAACGAACGAGCAGAGGGTAAAAGGGAGGGATGGACAGACAGACGGAGGGACAGAAAGAAGGATTGAGGGACGGACGGACGGATGGACAGAGGGATGGGGAGCAATGGGAGGAAGGGAGGTTGGGAGGGAAAGGGTAACGGATGGATCGACGGATGAATGTTTGATGCAGAGGAGGCCTGAGTGAGAGAGGAGGCATGTACAAATGGACGGAAGAATAGATGGATTGATTTCTCTAGAGGTATTTTCAACATCGAAGTCTGGTTAGAATTGTTACGACCGCAAAGTGTAAAACTTTTGGGACTATTATTAGTTAGAGGTAAAAAATTGGAAATTGAACTTANTCGCGTTGTGGCTGTTGTGGGGGTTTCCATTTTTTTGCTTGAATAGGTTTTTTCGCTTGATAAGGAAACTCCCAGTATAATTCGTGAGTTTTATCCAACGTCTCATCATTCTCATCTTAAAAGACAAGAACGAAAATAAGTTAAACTAGTCTTGGAAAAAGTGAAGTTTACTCACACACAACACCTTACAGGCTATACTGTGACTCTCTGACACTGTGGCCTACTAGGCAAACCGTTTGCAATGCGAAAAGAACGGTATTGTTGTTTAAAAAAAGTCTATGGAGTGAGTGATCAAGGACAATCTGAAAATATTCGTAAGAGATTCAGTAGTTGATGGATGGATGGATAGACGGACGGGCGGAGAGACAGACGGGCAGATCAAGAAACGGACGGACAGATAGAGGGACAAAGGGACGGAGGGACAAACCGACAAACCGACAGATAAACGGACAAACGGTCAAACCGACGTAGAGATGGAGAGAGAAACGGATAAACGAACGAGCAGAGGGTAAAAGGGAGGGATGGACAGACAGACGGAGGGACAGAAAGAAGGATTGAGGGACGGACGGACGGATGGACAGAGGGATGGGGAGCAATGGGAGGAAGGGAGGTTGGGAGGGAAAGGGTAACGGATGGATCGACGGATGAATGTTTGATGCAGAGGAGGCCTGAGTGAGAGAGGAGGCATGTACAAATGGACGGAAGAATAGATGGATTGATTTCTCTAGAGGTATTTTCAACATCGAAGTCTGGTTAGAATTGTTACGACCGCAAAGTGTAAAACTTTTGGGACTATTATTAGTTAGAGGTAAAAAATTGGAAATTGAACTTACGGACTGTACCAACTCTAATGCCCCTGTCCTTGCGCTCTGCCTTAAAAAAACAAAACAGGGGCATAAGAAATTTGATGGATTGAAGTATTATAAAGCAGCCGCCTGGTTGGTCCACCAGACTAGAAGAGAGCCAGACCTCTAAACGGGTACGAAGGCTTGGAGTAAATCAGGAGTAGATCGTGCAGTAAATCCTAACTTCAGGAATAAGCGACGTAAACTTGGGGCCTGGCCACGTTGATGACTCTAGGTGTTTTTGTTTCATTACCTTAATTCCTTCGGCGTATTCTTTTGCTCTTTTGACTTTGAGCTCTGAATCTGTTAATCCACTACCGACCCACTAAGAATACAAGAACAGTATAATAAATCAGCTCACTGATTATGTGAGAGAGTGCTAGCTGAGTATCTGAATCAACCAGTGTTGGGCGGGAAGGGGTGTCTTCCTGATTCCAGCGCGTCATCCGGGGAAAAGTGCTGATATTATACGATCGGAATCACCCAGTTGGATTGTATACCGTTTGCTGGAACAACTTTAAAATTTGCTGATTTGGGTCACCGAGTTCGCAGATCCTCAATATTCGATCCAAATCTTTTTTTCTTGATTATTGTTTCCTATTTATTCTCTTTCACAATTTTCACAAAGAAGTTGCTGTTACCTCTGACCCATAGGATAACTATTCAAAGAGAGCCCGTTGATTTCGCCGCTGTTTCAAACCACCAGCATATGTTTTTTTTTTTACAGATTCTCTGTCAGAAATTACAAGCTCAAGGGACAGATCATCAAGTAAAAGGTAAATTACAATCATTTGTCGGGCTGCAAGCCCCCAAACCTCGGCTCACCAAACTTTTTTTTTTTGGTTTCGTAATTGGTGTCCTTGAATATAGGTAGGCATTTCATAAGCGTATTTGTCAGAATCACGCGCATAGACCTAGTTTTCCCACGCCCATTTATCACTTAGGCGCGTTCCTGAAGTTGCACTCAACATTGCTTCTCCACCTTTAACGCAGGTTAGTCTCGTTCAGAACGAAAGGCTTTTTAACTACCGTAAATCCTTTATTAACCCCCCGGGGTCCTATTTATTTCAAAAGCGTTTGAGGGGGAGCTTGGTAGCGACGGGTGAGCCTTTTGCTAGGGGCTTATTTTATTTAGTGGTATCAGTTCTCCATAAAGAACTAGAATGCAAAGTAGAAAAGCTCAAGTACAAGAACTTGGAGGCAACGCAGCCGAGGATGTTTTTGTAAATATACACTTCTCATTACCCGGGAGGAGAGGGGGGCGCTTATTAACTTTCTTCCCCTGAAAAGGAAGACTTATTAGGGAGGGGGGCCTATTTAAGAGAGGGGGCTAAATAGGGGATCTACTATATATTCAGTTGTAAGTAGGCTCTTTCTCCGGCACCAGAAGAGACCCTGATAAGCATAAGGTACAAAGAAACCTGAGAAATGAGCCATGCAACCAGGCAAATGTAAAGCATTGTTTTCATGGCAAATACTGGCTTGTTCATTCCCTCTTTGTGGATTTACCGATTATAGGCAGGGGATTATTCATTGAATGACACATTACCACGTATATTGTCAAGCCCTTATCAAGGATAAACAAATCTTTGGATTCTCTCATTGCTCCTCTCTTCATAGATGTCTCACGAATACAAAGGGTACCCTGAAATTTAAATGAAAACATAATATTTTTTGTGGAAAGAAATTTTACCACATCTGAAATTCAGTTTTGTGCAACGTGGTATTCATGATTTTCCCTATAGAGAGGACAAGTGTGACGTCACGTTACCGTGGTAACAAAATCTCTAGATCTTAACAACCTTTCTTGACAGATAAAACCATTTGCATTGTGCAATGATGGAAGAAAAGTATGGGTTACCGTTTTTTTCATAAATGCAATCATACACAGGAAAGTAATGCATATCAACTTTCTCGGTTTTTTCTGCCATGTTTGCAGGACCACGCTTTGTTAAGATCCAGAAAATTTTGCTTCCATGGCAACGTGGCATAACGACTTCTTCTCTCTGTAGCGCCTTAAGGGAATTAATCAGTTGCCTATTGCTTTTTTCATTGCAGCTGTCGTCACGGGCGGTCATGTTCTTGACAAGAACGATGGTGTTTCCTTCTACTGTGATCTAAACCCTTTTTTCACGCGAATTCAATATTTAGCCAACACGTCACGTGGTTGTCCACCAAGGATATGTTTCTTCCTGAAGGGTGAGTGCGCAATATTTTCACTACTTGTAAGCCTTTTTATAAAATGTAAAGCGTTTAAAAATTAGTAAAGAAACTTGATACCTTTGCTCTTTTTTACCTAACAATCCTTATAGTTTTCGTCCTAACTATTTCTTGTTTTGGTTCCCTTTTGGTTAATGCTTTCCCTCTCCCTCCCCCTTCCTCCTCCTCCTTTCCCTATATAGGTATTCTTTCATTAGACGAGTTGGAATTATTATCGTAATCGTATTGGTTTACGGTTTTCATGTGCTGTGATTTAATTTGCTCCATAAACGTTTTCCCGCTATTTTTGTACCGGGAATAAAACAAGAATTTTTCCATATCAATAAATATCCTAAAGTTCTCAGGGATGTGTATTTTACCTTCACTCGTTTTGCATTTGTCTAAAACATCTCTGGAGTATGTCCAGTGACCCGCTCCCCCAACCCTAGACATGATATGATGTACTACCTTCAATTCATGTGAGTTTTCATGGAGTTACTGGATTTTGTACACATGTTGTGATTTGGCAAGTTATTATCGTTTTGGTTTTACGATACTCAATCGAAAACCACGCTGTTTAACCGTGAAAAAACAGCTTGCTGTAGCTGTTGTTGAGCCTGAGATTGCTTAAGTCTCTTTGAAATCAGCCTCATGTTGCGGCCTGTCTTAAAGCTGCTTCATTTACTCACCCCCAGTGGCCCTGTGACGCGAAGGAGTCGCTTTTTATACTTGGTATGCAGATCACAATTGTCCAAGCCATCAGATCTAATTGAAAGTCAAATGTAAATGTTGTGAATTTCGGAAACTGTATCTAAATGGTCGTATAACAGGGTTTTCGGTAACATTTGGAATTACCGGAGCAGAGGTTTAGCTACTGGATTTGCACTGTTCGTGCAGCAGGCGCGAGCATTGAGTGCAGCAGGAAAAGTAAAAAATGCTCCCAAAAATTTGTATGCGTTGCATAACTGTGTGAGTAAACTAAGGGTCAAATCTATCTTTGATTTTAAAAAAAACGTTGTGGTCAAACAACCGGACGTTGCGTCCGGCGTCCGGCCTCAAACGAAACTCGTGGACTATAAGGGGTACCCTTATTCTCTGTGATATCTCTCTCCGCTGCAGATGCTCCGGCTGGGTATCCCAATATCAAGAAAATAGAAAGCGCGCGGGGGACGATGGGAAGTAAGAAAAATACGCTTTCTTTTTCTTTCTCCTCAGTCTCCCTACGACAGAAATAGGCCTCTGCGGAGGAGAAAGCTTTGATATGGTTGTCCCTCAATAAGATTTCCTAGCCCCCCGCCCCCCTCCTCCCTCCCTTACTGTTGGCGGACCAAAGGGATAGGGGCAGGGATGCGGGGGTAGGTCCAGCCTTTCACGTGTAATGGAAGGTTTTCAGGTTTCATAATATACAGTTGTTACTTTTGGTAAGCCTACTGTTTAAGTTTGTTTCTCATTTCAGGTTCGCTCGAGAATAAACGTCTGAGAACACTAGAAAAGTAAATATATCCCTTTTTGCTTTTGTATTACTCTGTTATCGTTTAACAAAGGGAAAAAAAAGACAGAACTTGATAGAGTTATCTTGCTATTGTACCTTCCTTTAAGCACCGTGTAGAATTCAAATCCATTTAAAAATCGTTTGGATTCGAAGTCTTGCACCTCTCGGTGAACAATTGCCACTCCTTCCAACTGTGAAGAAAACGCAGCAATAATGTTTTATTCTTAAGCAACTGATCCAATTCTCCTCGTTTTTATTAATATTTATATGGATAAATGCTGACGTTCTTTTGCCATTAATACTATTGTATTTAACAAATCGACAACGATTTTCCATGGTCTACAGAGATTCCAACCCTGTCAGCTAAAAAAGGGTAGGTTTTTAGAGCGACATAGCCGCGCCCACGAGCGCCGAAGGCGTGAGCCTCTAGGGATATGTGCCTCTAAGACGCAATTTCTTACACAAAGTCGAAGCAATCCAGCGCATTGCCGCGCCCAAAGTTTTCGCAGGTTAATGCTCGGATGCCAAAAAGGTAAAAAACGGCAAAGAATCGTGCAAAAAGGACTGGTTAGACAAAGAAAACATTGTCTTTCTTTGGCTAGGAAGAGTTTCAAAAAACAGGGAGAATATTTTATAAGCGAAAACGGGAGGCCGGAAATATTCGCCGAGTACGAGAGGTTTAAGGCCAAAAAGGGAGGGTTAGAATCTCTGGGTCTGTACTCTTATCGACCATAAAAATGACGTCCAAATGAAAAGGGGCTTCTTTTTTAATAGCAGCTCTAGCTTATGCAAAATGTCGGGGAAGCGGGGGGATGTGTATTATAGGTAATGTGTGAGTGGGGAATGAAGCACGATGTTTTCAACAACAGTGTCTCTGGGGATGAAAGGAAACATTGCTCGCAAGGTCGTACAAAACGTAATCTAAAGTTTAAGCAAAGACGCATGTCAATCTAAAGTGAGGCCTTTGCCCTTTTTATATGGCTGTAATGCTATCAAATTTGTATATTCTGGCTAAGTGTCTTTACTCTTATAGACTCGATTTGCTCTAATATTTTAGCAAAACAACTTTCCGATAGCGAAAAACGTCCACTTTCTGTTGACGTGCCTCGCTCATAACGCCTTGTGAATCCGGGCCATAATAGCTTGCAGGAACGCGCGAGGAAGAAGAAAAAAGAAAAGAAACGCGCGCTATTGCGTTCTTGCACGCCTTAATTCCTTCTTTCCTTACTGGATTAAACTCCTGCAGAGAAGTCAAGACCATAATTATGTGTCACTGTAAGTCACTGCAATGAGTTGATAAAGAGTTGCAAGGCTTACCGCTTCGTCGAGTGCTACAGCATTGTAGAGGCCAGTTCTGTACGAATCACGACTTGCCGACTTCCCAACCCAGCAGTAAATATCATCCGGTGTTTGGAGCCTCTTCAAAAGAACAGAACTTTGCCATCAGATTTTTGGTAGGTGATAATTAATACCGACCATGCTTTTTTATCTATCAATGATGCCCTTGTGCACTAAAGTTACAAATGTATCTTATGGCCTTAATATTTAACAATAAACAGTGCGGACACGAACACGCACGCGGTGTTTAATTTTAGATCTTTTGACGTGTTGGTCACAGCGGTCCTTATAGGTCGGTGTAATAGACCTTGAAATGGTTTATCAACTTTTGAAATGAACCAGTTAAGGAAAATCCTTTGACACCACTGTAAAGAGCGCCTTAATATTAGTAACATTGCCAAATTTGAAAGTGATACGTCTCACGCAGTAAGAGAACTGGAAGAAATAGCTCTGCAAATTTGCGAAAATTTACAGACGTTTGTATTGTGGGGTCCAAGTTTGTGCCCCCCGCCATACATATTACGTATTTCACCCGTACCTCCTAACAACGGCCACTTTCTTCTGTCTCCAAGGTGGCCGTTGTGGAGAAGTTCGACTGTAATGAGGACATGGAATTCTAAAACTAATAGGGCCATTTATACGAGGAAAAATAAGACGCGTCTTACATATAACTCGTCTTAATTAAGACGCGAACTTTCCGTATAAAAGGCACGTTTCGTCTAAAATAAGAACCGACTTAGCTAAGACGTGTCTTATTTTAGAACAGCCCTTAACACCTGTTCTTGGATAAGACGCGTCTTAGCTAAGACGAGAAAAACTTCGTATAAATGACCTTCGCGTCTTACATAAGACGCGAACGCATAGTACGCATGCGTTAATTTTTGGCGGGAAAATTATCGCTTGCCCCGCGGTGGACTGGCAGGCCACTGGCGGGGAAAAAATGTTTACAAATTACAACACGTTTTCGTTTCCTTGTCCATTCTGCTTTATTGTTTCCTTCGCTCAAACACAATGAGCACGCCGTTAAAGGCAAAAAGAAACACTTGGTCCATCGCGGAGGAAAAGATTTTGTGTTAGTAAGTAAGGAGAAGGCGAGAACAGACCTCCTGGACAAATGCGTGACATCTGCCGGTGTAAGTAGACCCTTTCAAACTAGAGCGGTTTTCGTTTGAGTGTCGAAAAGTAATTGGTTTTGCACTTTCTACACGATGCGATTGGCTTAAAAGATTCGCGCCACCTTTTCATCCAATCAGAAGTAAAACCAAAGCCAATTGTGACGCGCTCGCATGCATTTTCCCGCGCTTTGCGTCAGCCACATGTAATTACTTCGAGTTTTGATTGGTTCAATGTATTGTCTGTGTCCTATGTGATTGGCCAGTGTAATTACTTTGGTTTTGGTTTTACGACACTCAAACGAAAACCACTCTATCACAATTTATATTTATTAATCAAATTGCTATCTTCGTATTATAAACTTACACGTTAAAAGTACGTTTAAGTCTACAGAAGACTTAAAGAAGACATGCTCGTATAAATGGTCCAGTTCGCGTCTTATTTAAGACTCGTCTTTTTTTTTAATATGTAATACGCGTCTTATTTTTCCTCTTATAAATGGCCCTATTATGGCATTTTATGGTATTCCACGCCAGAAAGAGTTAATGTCACTGACAGCATCAAAATCAAGCAAAACCTTATTCGCCATTTTCTGTTTTAAATTACAGAGCATCCTTACCCTCTCTGGTACTTTTGTTGACTGAATGTCAGTACGATTCAGTACAATGTACACTTCGTCACTAAAGAAAAATCCTTTAGTTGCTAGATCCCAAGGCACGATCTAAAGCGAAAATGCAAAGAAAAGGTCAACGAGAATAGCAAAATTTTATATCATTACGAATGACCTGCTACTGCAGACATATGGTCGTGTTACTGCCCTCCAATATCATGGCGAAAGTATATTTTCGCCTGTGCTTTATAAATTTCAGTATTATTTTACCCTACCGCCTTCTAGGTGCTAGGTAAAGAAGCTTATTTAAATTTTTTTAGACCATATGACTTTATAATGGGGAACTTCTGCCTCTTTTACTAAATTCTTTCTCTTTATGCGAAAACGACGGTGGGACAGTGACGGATGGATTATATAACAGAAGATCATCGCAGTTATAGACGCAACTTTGCAGTTGCCAAAAGAAAGCCTGAAAGCGTTTTCGCAACTGCAAAGTTGCGTCTATAACTGCGATGATCTTCTTTCATATAATTCTTCACCCCGCAGTTCTCATATATGATTTTCATAAATTCATAACTTCAGTGACGGATGAGTTGGCTTGTTCTTCCCTTTCCATGATGCCTTGTACTTCGCTTAAGGACGCTGGGAAGCAAAAACCCTCTTCTTCGTTCGCTCGCGCGTTCTCTTGCGAGTTTGCTAGCAGGCTAGGATTGTAGTGTAAGCTACAGACTTTATAATTTGATAGCGTAAATTGAAATTACTGTAAACAAAACATTAAAAGGGTTTTAGGGTTTATTGGAGCGATTACAAAATTTGAACACAACTCAAATTCGATCAAATGTTGTGATATGGATTTCTGAGCGTATTCCCCCTGGGAGCCATAAGACAATCTTTTTTAAGGACCCGTGATTACGAGTTTTAATCTCCCACCGGGAAGCGGAGCTTGTTTAGGTTTCCTTATTTGACAAATTCAAAGTCTTGCCTTTTATGGAAAAAAGTAACGATGCCTACTATAGCGGTAATGATTAAAGAAAGAATTACTATTGTGCATAAAGAACGGGCAAACGTTTAGAATTGATAGGTGACTTATTTTCCTTGTTTTTAAGTGGCATTGCCAAAGTGTTACTTTGTTTGACTTATTTGTTGACTTTTTAACGATTTCTTTAAATTTCTAAAGCTTCAAATAACTGCACTTGACACCGAGGCTACAGAGGAACGTTTATGAAACGGTTTTTGAAGGAAAATAAAGCCTCTTAAAATTGAAATTTCCAATTTTTAGCTTGAGCAAATGCGAGGATTAAAAAGTGTTTTAGTAACTGAATATCAGTACGAGGAGTTCCTAACTAAGTGTATTTTTTCTCAGATATACTCGGGTGGTTTTGTGCTATTTTGTTTAAAGAGGGTCGTGATATAGTAAACTATAGGTACTTGACTATCGCGATAGTTTTCTACTCAAGCCAAGCAAGTTTGTGTAATGTGCCTGATGTCGATAACTAAAGCAGTTAGGCTACCGGCATTGGTTAGTGCACTGAAACAAATAATCAAAAGTTGAATATTTATTATAAGCATTTTACAGCTGCCTTATCTATAGCTTTTTTAAAATGGTGGCCTTTAATATCCGTTATCTCTTCCTCAAGGTCGGTGACTACGGCACGATGCCAAGGTATCCTTTCTAACCGACTTTTTACGCAGGGAGAAAAATTCATTTTGGATGAATCCCGCATAGAATTGTGTTGAGGCACTTCCATCTAAATTGTAGAAGTTAATTGATTAAAACACCTCAAGTTCTCTCACCTGGTCATCTACGATCTTCCAAGCATATAGCTCCCTTTTTTTCCTCTTTTCCTGCCGATCCTCCGACTCTTTTCTCCGTTTAATTTCTGCTATTTCTGCTATCCAATACTACGAGTAAACAGAACTTAACGTTATTTTTTAAAGGCAACCTTGATATTCTTAGCTTCCTTAAATACAGCCCTCTTTTTATTGATCTGACGGAACCATAAATAATTCCCCTTACCGCGATTCCTTCATTTCTTCGGTCATAGAATTCTACGAAAGTGTCCTCCCATTCCGTTTGTTTTTCGCTCTCAGCAAAAGCCATGCCAGCTAAGGAAAACTAACTGAATTTGATATATTATATTAGCGCTATCACTCACTCAAGAAAATTTAAGTTTGGGTCGCCAACTTGCACAAGATTCTTTCAGAATCAGCAACAAACTTCACTGTCAACCTGTTTCCCAGTCCGTGCTTCTCTTACTGGTCAACGATGAAAAACAAGCTGTCCGTTGGAGTTGTCAAACAGTAACTCTTGTCAATGGATAAATTAATAATGTTTGGTATTCACCCTAACTGAAGATTCTTTTGAATTCTCGCGGCGTGGTACTATCTGCTTTTAATTATGTATGTTCACCTTGTATTCACATAACAACAGCTTTTTATTATAAAAAAAACCTTGATTCTCTGCACCAATCCCTTGTCATCGGCAATACTTACGTTGTACTTGCAGTACTCGCGATTTCTTTTTTCTGGGAATTTTTGTTTTATAGTCGTAGTCCACGTCTGTCCGATGACTTCTCTTCTTCTCTTACTTAACAGCTTTCCGAAATCAAATATTCACTTAAATTTTCAAATTTTGATCCAAATAGCAGGAACACATCGTTCATTCTGAGTGTCGTCAGATCTCGAACCTTTTTGTTGAAATCGAAAATTAAAGAAAGGAAGGGAAGGAAAGCAAATAGTTTAAATTTAAAATATATACAATTCTTGAATCTTGTCAGTACGTGTAATTCTTGCTCTTCATGAAATGTCCTTGACAGGACAACCAGCATTGTAAACGAAAAATAATGAAACTACGTAAGTGCCGTCACGGTGTTTTGGTTTGAGTTCCTCTCTAAACGTTTCGGGCCCGGGACCCGTTTCTCGAAAGTCCCGGTAACTTTTCGGGCCCGAAACGTTTGGAGAGGAACTCAAACCAAAACACCGTGACGGCACTTTCGTGGACCCTTACGTAGTTTCATTATTCTTCGTTTGCTGGTTTTCCTGTGTCGGTCAAGGACATGTACTGGTTTACATTGCATGATGGGATCTTCACTTCCGTCTTCTTCAATGTCGTTGTGGGACGTGTATCGACTGTTTGAAGGCCTCTGGAAGCGACCTAGTTCGACCACGATGGATTTTCAAGTTCCTTGGGCTGCTCGACATGACCGACAAAAAGTCGATCTAGCTTTCATTGTGGACTGCACGGGATCAATGGGCTCTTACATTAGACAAGCGCAAAAACACATTCGAACCATCGCGGAGACGGTGTCAAGAACTGCATTCAGTGTGAAACTTGCGTTGGTCGAGTACAGGGACCATCCTCCACAAGACTCAACATTTGTGACTAAAGTTCACGATTTTACCTTTTCTGTGTCTGAAATGAAGACTTGGGTGGATGGGATGAGTGCTAATGGTGGTGGAGACGGGCCCGAATCAGTTGCTTGCGCCTTGGTTGACGCTGCCACTAAACTTAGTTACAGAAAAGACGCCACTAAGATGTGTGTTCTCATTGGTAAGTAAGGATGCTAATCCTTCCTAACATCCTAGACGCAGTTGGCTTCCAGCTTCGGAAAATAGGGGGAATCAATTGCTCTCGTAAACAGCTCAAGGACAATTTTAAATTTTCCCCGGTCAGTTTCGTTGGAAATAGAGGTTGGCTGGGGGGAGGGGGTGGGGGAGGGGAAGGGAGAGGGGGAGGGGGTACTGTTAGCTAAGGAAGTGTAACTCGTCCTTGTGGGCCTGATGCTTCCAAATTCATTTTTAGCAAGTATTGTAATAAAATTGGACATGAAGAGACAAAGCTGTGATCACAGACTTAATTAACAGAAAAAGCACAGAAAGGCAATTAACAGAAATGCCATAAAAAAACTTAACTTGGAGCTAGCCAGTTAGCAGGTAAAGACTGATTGTAAACTGCAAATACAGTTGCCTCTCACCGCAGGCTACCTTTTGCTGGGATGTTTCATGAGAGGCGACTGCATTTACCCATCCATACTGATGGTGTGAACTTGTCCAGAATCTTTGTTCAGATTTTGCTGAAAAACACGTTTTGAAGCTAGTTGAGCAGTCTTCTGGTCACTGTTTTCTGGTTTTCTGGTTCTCTCCTCCCCTCTTTTTTGCTTTTCTTGCCTCAATTTTTTTTCTCTTACTGGGCATTTAGTAGGCTTCATTTTGGTGGGAAAAGGTTTTAGGAAAAGTTTGTAGGATCTTAGGATTATGGAAGGAAAGGTAGGTGGGTAGTGGTACAAGATTTTCATGGAAATTTTTGGGTCAATTTTACATGGTTTTTTTGCCTTTTTATCCGGTGTCCTTGAGTGAATTGTGCTCTTTCTGGTATGGTTTGAAAGATCTCTTCATTCTGCACAAGTTAGCACACAAAGTTATTCATGACCATTTAAACTGATGATGTCACAAGCGGTAGAAGGGATGTGGATCTGCATGGCCGGTTACAGGTGGCTTAGAGGCGAATGTGTCAACAAATGCGGCTTATAATCCCCACCTTGTTATGAGCCCATCTACCTTTACTAAACAATAAAATTCATCCTATTATAAGCTCCCCCCAGATATAAGCCCCCTCCAGATGTATTGAATGAATTCTTATTTGATACGAGCTTTTGTAGCTTAATTAAAAACCAGTCATGCTAAACTAATTTCAATCAGCAGTGCTATAGCTTGTTTATTTCAGTTTTAACCCCCCTCAGGTAAATATAAGTCCTCTTAAAACCCGGTATACCATGTTCCCCTTATCAGGTGGTAACTAGTAAAATTTACCTTCTGAAACAACACTTCTTACCACCTGCAACCTCTTGCAGGCTTACTAAAATGAAAAAAAAGTGGATATTTGAAAAAAGGAAGTTGTGATCCAATCTGCTTCTTAAAAGGAAAATGAATAAACAGATATGGAAAAGTACTTAAGTATACATGTACACAGTTTTTCTTTTTGTGGGTTACGCATTTTGGAAAGATAACAGAGTGAAGACAGAGTAAAGTTATTTGAATCAAACGTTTTAAATTGTTGCCTTTGGCGCACATTTTTTGCCTTACTGGCTATGAATGGTCCTTTACGTGCTGAGCTATAATTTAGGGAGAACATTGTGTATAATCCCAGGGCTTTTAAGCAGAAATGTGTGTAATCAACTTGACAGAAACTGCTGAGATTGATGCTGCTAGTCATCCACAGTGAACTGTTTAAAACTCTTGATTTTTACATTGATCCCTTTAGCTGATGCTCCTCCCCATGGCCTTGGAATAGATCATGATGGCTTCCCCGAAGGTTGTCCTTCTAGGAATGATCCAATGAAAGCTTGCAAAACCATGGTTGAAAGTGGAATAGTACTCTACTCTGTTGGGTGTGAACCTGCTATCTTGTCCTATAAGGATTTTTTTATGGGTCTAGCATTCAAAACAGGAGGACAGTATGTGCCACTTTCAAGAGCTCAAGCATTGTCACAGGTAAATGTCTTTTTAATGCTACTTTGTTTTCATTTTCAAGGGTGGCTAAATACTCCATACTGTTACCCATGAGGGGAAACAAATTGCCTGAACTGTAAGTATCCAGGAGAGTCCCATACAATTTACTGTAACACTGTTACAGTAAATTGTATGGGACTTTTGGAGCACCTCAGGCAGTATCTGAGCGAGGTGTTATAATCCTTTTCTTATGACACAAATTTGATAATTAATTTCCTCTATACAAATGCGATTACTGGTCTATACTTGTCATCAAGTTGTAATAAGTGCATCTCAATTTTCATGAGAACAATGAGGCTTGTGTTTATTTACTGCCATCTGGTTCTCAGCAGCACGCACTTTGGGAAACGAGATAAAAAATTATTTGACTCAATAGTCACAGTGCTGTTTTGCAAAAACGCCTGGCGCAATACGGACATATTCAGTTTCCAAAGCTGTCATGACTAAGTTGTAATGCCGTCACAACTAAAATAAATTAAGTTCATATTGTCAAAAAAAAAAATGACTGTGCTGACCAAAGTAAAATTATTCCTTTTGACGAATACATTGTTTTCGCTCGCCGTGAATTTAGCCGGGAAGACAAAAATGAAAAAACAAAACCAGATCAAAAAAATAAATGATGAAATCACCAAAAAACCATCTTGGGAGAGTTGTAGGGATTTTATCAGACTTGTACCCAGTCGCTATTTATGTGTTTTGGGGGTGAGAGAAGATTGGGAGTTAGTGTGAGGCGCGCATGGGGTCTCAGTACATGAATGGAAGAGTCATCTAGAAATTTTCAGCCTTCCTCAAGCTATAGAAAATTCTAGGCAATTTTTGCCTCTCCGAACAGATATTTCAGAGAAAACAGTCGTTGGGTGCCCCTGAATAAATACAAGCTCGCTGTTCCAAAACCCCACGCCGAATTTTATAAAAGAAGCCTTTCTTTTAGCGGAAATGTGTTGTGGAAGATCTTGACTTTGGAGGTGCAGCAATTGACATCCCTTTATGTTTTTAAAGGAAAATTAAAAAAACCTTAATTTAGAGATATGTAATATTTTCACATGGCCTCCTTGTAAAGCATCCTTTTTATTATTATTACTTTAGTACCTGAACGAAATACCATGTATAAATGACGTTACCTTACCTTATCTTACCTCTGTGATGTGCGTAAATGGTTTTAGACAATATGCTTCCTCTGGCTATCAATAGTGTGTATAACAATGTATCTAGCGATAAAGAAGTAGTCAAAGTGCCATGCATATTGTAGCATCACAAAGTTTTATGGAAAACATATTGCTATCTGATGTACACCTATGACAGTCTATGTTTGGAAGCTCTGCCTTAAGAACACTGGGTTACACTGTACTCATGGGTGCGCTACCTAAAGTACCGCCTATGTTTGTTAACTCTACCTAAGGAATCACTGGGTTACACTACACTCATGGGTGTGTCACCTTAAGTGCAGCCTATGTTTGTTAGCTCTACCTTAAGAATCACTGGGTTACACTGCACTCATGGGTCTGCCACCTAAAGTGCAGCCTATGATTGTTAGGTCTACCTTAAGAATCACTGGGTCACACTACACTCATGGGTGTGCCACCTT